TATAAAAGTTCAATTTTTCATGATTATTTTAACCTTTTGAGTAGCATGGACAAATATATTTTTTTAAACAACTATCAGAAAGAGAATAAACGTATATTTATGTTTTTCTGTAAACTCCTTTTTGTTTCTTTGTTAAAATGATGTGACACACGCATAAGTTGTCTCTGTCTTGCAAGTATCTAACATAGCAAATTTTAAGCTCAGGAGATCATGTTTAGTTTTATGAGTTTAAAATTTAGAGTGAATTAATCTCTTATAAAAATTAAAGGTAACATTATTTAGAGCTTCTCATAGGCTTTTTATTATACTTTAATTTTTAAGCGATTTATGAGTAGTTTAAAATTATAAATTGTTTGTATATTTTTAAATGTCCTCTTAATGTATCTTCTGATTGAATGACCATAAGATACCAAACATAAAATATATGCTACCATATGTGAAGTTTAATTTTAATCAATCAATTTATTTTTATTTTTATACACGGATATGTTTTCAATTATTTATTCCAAAACCTACTTCTCAAAAGGGTAAAAAGCACTGAGGATTTTCAATTTTGACCTAAAAATACTATCTAGATTCCATTTTTAACCAAAATTGGTTTGTAGTGTATCATTGGAGTGAATCAAAGCATTTTTTTTGTGTTAGAAAAGTTTTATTAACACTTTAAAATACCTCATTTTAACATCAAAAATGTTGTGACATGACAAAACAGAAATGTAATCATTAATGTTCATTCCCATAATAGTCATTGAAAAATCTTGTGTATGCCAATGTACAAGTTATACATCATTTCAGAAAATAATGAACTGTTCAAATGATTTTATAAGGTAATTAAATACTAGCTTACCATCACATTGTTAACCACAGCTGGTTTTATAACGGGTGGTGCCGGAATATCTTTATTTTGATATACTTGTCTAACAGGTATTCTATGAAGGTACCCATATCCTATTCCACAGCCCAAACTTTAAAAATAAACAATTTGTTAGACATTATTTTAAGAATTAATACTATTCAAGTAAGCTAAATTCAGGATTTACCTTCCTTCGCCAGGCCATGCAGTATCTGGTGTAATTGAAACTTCTCTACAAGTATCCAATTCCACATTATAAACATATAATTTTAATGGTCTACCTTCATGTGCTTCAATCAACATAAATAAATCTTCACTTTCATGCATTATAGAATCAGATCCAATTATATAATCTGTATGTGATCTAAGACCAGCTTTATCAGCAGGAGAATTTGGATGAACATCCTGAAAATGTTAATAAATACATAAATAATATGTATATATATATATTTACAAAAAATAATAAGTGTTATTTAATTACTAACAAGAATATGCCAGACGTTTTCATTGGCTCCAGCAAAAGAACAAAACCGTATGCTCACGCCCAATAATCCTTGACCACCCCAATTACTATTGGGTATAATTTTTACTTCTCTAACTGTTTGTGTTTTGCTACTGTATACAGATAATGTAATTTCATTACCATCTCCATTTTTTAACATTTCTTTAAGAGTATCATTGTCTTTATCCTTAAGAAAACACAAATACAAAAAATATTAATTTATATCGGCAGTCCTTACTAAGATTTTAGAAAGGGTCGAATATAACTTTTGAAAATTACTTTTGGGCCACTTAAATTGATTTTTTCTCATATTTCTTATAATTTGTACAATCTGTATAAGATATTTTTACAATAAGCACAATAGATGGGGCCATGGAGGTATACATAAATGGACTTGGTTGAAAACTCAATTACTTGATTAAATAATAGTACTTCATAATGATATTTTTAATAATAATAATTGAAAATATAAAAATATAAAAAATTATAACAGTTCACTAAATTCCTTAAAATAGTAAAAAATAAAAATAAWAATAATAGCATTGTACAGCATTGAGTGCAGGAGAAAAATTGTTGAGATGAACTCTGGAATCTTGTTTATAATAAAAAATATATTAATTTTCAGTAATTTCATTTTGAAAGCTTCATCTTCTTAAGAATTTAAATTTAATATACAAAACTTGATGATAAACTTACGACTTATAATAATTATTTATCTATATATTATATCATTTACATTATACAAGGTATGTTAAAAAACTATCCACATTTCAATATCTTTGAGTCAACATATTTTTTCAAAAGGCACCAGCCAGCTTAGTTGAAAATATCTCTAGATTTCCTCTGTAATTTTTTATAACATCTAAGCATGACTCAAGTCAAGTGCTTTTAAATGATGATTTTAGTATAATGAATAATCAAAAATAAAATAGATCCTGGGTCCATTTTAAGAGACAAAATTAAAGACATAATTTTTAGACAATTTATCTTCAGTAGACATTTTTAAATAGGTGTGAGGATTGGCAAGTATGTTAATACTATAATAAAGCTGTCAAGTTGATGACCAAAGTATTGTCTTTTATGGAATTACAAAGTTGTTGATGAAGAAAACCTAATATAATTACTCTTATCTTTAGTAATCATTTCTTACCTATTAACAGTCAGCAAACAAAGTAGGAATTATAACTTTATAAGGTTTAGTGGAATTTATAACTTTTTGAACATACCTGTATATGTTAAATCAAGAACCTATGTGATAAATTGTTAACTAATAAGCAAGTTGAGGTTATAAACTTGTAACTATGAGATTCTTATTGCAATATACAACCAAAAAATTAGTAGGTAATAATACTMTTAAAAAAAAAATTAAACCATATTGATTACATGCAAAGCAAAAAAGTTCCTATTTCTCAGTCATTGAAATTATTAGTATTTTATTGACTTATAAAATATAATTATTACTCTTAATTTATAATTATTATTTTAAGTGCACGCTTAATATAACTCACAAGTCTTGTATTATTAATAGCCAATATGAAGTCAAAAAATGCTTCTAAACCTGCTGCTTGGCCTGGTGAATTATCTTGAACCTACATAATATAATTGAATGGTATTATTTGAATGAATATCTAACAGTCATGTATATATATATATTTATATATAATATTTTTAGAAATTATTCCGGTAAACAAATGCTTTTAAAACTTTTCATTACTTTCAAAACATGATATCCTTCTGTTCCTCCACCCGGAATAGGAGTACTATTTGCAGATCCCATTTTAATGTGTAATATAACGCTTATAACATTTAATATTATTTAGGCCTTTGAAATGCCTTGCATAGTACAGTGAATATAGGTAACAACAGTAATTAATTTCTATTCGGAAATTTAATTTTTATTAAATTGTTATATACGTTCATAGTAAATGACGTGTAACTACTATGTGTTATCTATTATCAATTTATATGATTATAGTATTATACCAGGGAGAGAACTTACAGTACATGATCAGTAGATAATACAATCCCCAAGGTCTATTGATAAAAAAGTACCGTAGTCCGTAACTATAATATTATTGTACGTTGTACCATAGAACAATAGTAGTATAGTACTAATAGTACTAATTTAATTTTGTGGTACTATACGATTATACGACTCATAATAATATTATATTTTTTTTATATATTTAAACTTATTAAATATTATATTTCAATGAAATATTTCATATATTATTCTGTGTTTACGACGCACCGTTTTAGTCTGTGACCATACAGTTGTATTCCAGCTGCTATTTTCTTATCAACTGTGAACTCATGTCTAAGAAAATTCTGATATCGTCATGATATTATTCATTTAATATTTTTTGACCGTGGTTTATTTTTTCTTTAAGTTCTCTTTAAATTTCCTCATTTATTTCAAACTTTAAAGTATTTTAATCGAAAAAAATGAGTTCTTTAGTTAGACTTGTTCAGATTTCAAAAAAAATTATTCGACCAACGCCATTAATTCAACGTCATATATCGACCTCTAAGAAAAATCAAGAAGTGTGCGTTACTAATACTGAACTAGCTGAACATGAACCAGTAATATTTTAAATAAATATAAAACATTTAAATGTATTTTAATGTTGTCTATGCTTGTATGAAAAATATCTAAAATTTAATGACGTTTATATTTAATAGGAAATTTTCATAAAAGATGCTGGTTATTTATTAATTATATTTTTCTAATATAAAAATATATATATAGATCTAAATATTTTGTGAGTTCTTATTTCCAGTTAAAACTTATTTATTTCATGTATTGTTATATAATGTTGGCTTAAAGTAAAAACTAATGTTCTGTTAAACCTCCAAAAATTGGACTCTCTCGATCATTGAAATTTTGTCTGGTATTGGAAGTATTTGTTTACAAAGGTTTCTATGTATTAGAAATTAAATAATAATATATTTTTAAAATTAATTATTTTTATCTCATTCAAATAGTAAAAAGTAACTATTGATGATTGAGTTTCTGGTATAAAGATACTTTATCATATTTTATTCAGACATCATTTGGTTCTGGGGCTCATATTTACTTCTAAATCTTTAAAATTAGTTGACAAATTTGTAGTTAGTGAAAGTTTTCAGAGCTGATGATGTTATTGTGCACCTTGATAGATACAAAAACCATATTTTTAGATATATTTATGATATATTTTAATAATTTTAGGTTATATATATTTTTTTAGCAAAAACGGAATTGGCAATCGTATGGTTTTGAAAAAGATGACGAGACAGAAGACTTGAATGCAATGCACGCTACTGGTTTTTTTTCAATCACTTTATGTATAGTAGGTGGTATATTTATGTTTGCATATATGCCAGACTACAATTACAAGAATTGGGCAGAAAGAGAAGCTTTTCTTGAACTGAGAAGAAGAGAAGATCAAGGCTTACCACTCATCGATCCTAATTACATACAACCAAATTTGATACAACTGCCCTCCGAAGAAGAATTAGGTGATACTGAAATAGTGATTTAATATTATTAGTATCATAATGTTATGAAGTACCAGTTTTTGTTTTTAGTGAATAAAAATAAGATGATTTTCAATGAAATAAAACCAAAATTGTTCATTGTACAACAATAAATGTATTTATTTTCAGGTCTAATGATCATAGACCAATTTAAATTTTTGTATTATTCATTAAAATGATACTTTTTTTTATGTTTTATCATGTGATACATTTCAGTAAATACTAATCCACAAACTCCACATGTAACCAGTTCATTTATATTGTGTAATTCTCGGTGTTGTTTTAGAGTAGCTAATTCGTTGAATATATTATCACATAGTACACATTTAAATAATTTATCTCCTTTGTGAACTCTAAAATGAATRTCCAAAGCACATCTAAAATATTTATAAATTAAAATTAAAAATGAATTATAAAATATTACATCAAAAAATAATATACTTTTAGTTACCTAGTACGAAATTGACCTAAACACACGCCACACATGAACCTCATTGGAATATCATTATTTTTAAATTCATTATAGCATTCTGGATCATCAACAAAGTCTAGTTCTGGTTCCCACATCATCCCTATGATATCGTTATCGGAAGATGCAAGATTGTGAATTTTAGGATGTTCAAGTCCTTTTGTTGGGCTACTTWGAATATTATTAACTTGGTTTCCAAAATCCAGGCATGTATTCTGATTGGATCCTCCTTTCTCTAAACAATAATCTGTATGTAATAATTTCATTATTGCTGCGTCTATTTTGGCCCTATAAAAATCAGAAATAATTAACAAATTTTAAGTAAAATTCAATATTTTTTATGTACATACCCATAATCTAAAATGCACTCCGGATTATCATCTTTATTGATGTTCATAATTGTAAATTATCGATCGATGTACAAGTTTCGTGTTCTTATGCTTATTAACAAGTGAACACTGTATGAGAAACAAGATTTTTCTATTCCCGTAAAAGAATAAATATTGAATCACAATAGGGGTTAAATCACGTGCTTGACCGTGACAAATTTTATAGTTTTGAAAGGGTAACCTTTTTTTTTTAACCATAAAATGTTTCTAAAGGATACTTTACAATAGTCAGTCAAACACTTTACTACGAGGTCAACTTATTTTGTTGTATTTAGATAGGTCATAGGTACTAATAAAACTGTTGAAAAGGGATTACTAATTGTGAGTTACGAGTTATTTTGTTCGCGGTCAGTACCTATTACTCAGTAGTGAAGACTGACGCCCAATGCCCATGGACATTTAAAAATAAATATTATAGGAATAATAATTATATTATATTCAATAATAATATTATTAAAAATAACTAAGTACTAAATAGTAGATGGATTGGAAAAAAATTAGGTGCAAAAGTATGAAAAAAAATGTGCATGTCATAGGTATAGATTAGGATATAATAAAAGTAGGTAGTACTTCGAATACGCATAAAATATTTATTTTTTTAAAACAGGACTAATCTCCGTTTCATGCACTGTAAACAAATATTGAAAAATTGAATATGAAAACTATAAAATTAATCTTTGCCGGGGGCGTTAGTTTAGCGGCATCAAAATGTGGACTTATGATCCTGTATAATTTGAGCCGATCCTCGGTTGTTTTCGTTTGATCATTATTATATTTTGTGAGCACAAAGGTTTGCCTGTATTTATAATATTTTGAAAAAACACTAAATTGTTTACTTAGAAATAATTGTCACAATGATAAATTTATAATTTATAATTAAAAGTTGGAATATATGTATACTGTATAGTTAGTTTAGACGCATGAGAGATCACGTAGAGGGATGAGTAGGTAAGTGATGTGTGTCGTGTGTGTAAATGTTTTATTTTTAAAGAAAATGAATATTATTGTATTCAGTGGCGGCTTGAACTTTTTTTCCCTCGAATCACGTTTAATATTTTTACACCACCCACCCTAAAATATAGTTATTAGTTATAATTTAATATTTAAATACCAACCTACAAAAATGGTCCAATCTACCTTTTCCAACTATAAGACCTACCCACCCAACTACCCATTAATATTTTTGTGAATCACGTGATTCAAATATACTCCCTTCGAGCCGCCACTGATTGTATTATTGAAAATATTGTTTTACAAAGTTTCATGTTGTTAAAAAACAACGTTTTTATTAAAAAATTATGTTTTTAAATATTTTTTATCCTTATAATTTTTTAAGTTTTTTACTTTTTTGAATGACAACCTAGAGTTTTAATTTCATATTCCAAAGCAGAATATTTTTCTAAGTATTTTGATATGTAAAAATCGAATTTTGAACGAGTAGTTTATGAGTTACAAGTATTTTAAGTTTTGATTGGCGAAGTGGAGTGTTACGGGGTTACCCCTCAAAATGTTTGTCCACTATTAAACTACTTGTCCAAAATTCGATTTTTACGTATCAAAATACTTAGAAAAATATTYTGCTTTGGAATATGAAATTAAAACTCTAGGTTGTCATTCAAATAAGTAAAAAACTTAAAAAAAATATAAGGATAAAAAATATTAAAAAGCATAATTTTTTAATAAAAACGTTGTTTTTTAACAACATAAAACTTTGGAAAAAAATATTTTCAAAAACATTGATACCTTATGAAATAATGAGTGGTTCATGATAAAATAATCACCCTGTATTGTATGTCCATTTTAGAATGTGTTAAAAATATTATCACTTTCTTTCATTCATCTAGATATTTTATTTTCAATACGTAAAATTTCCACATTTATATCTCCAAGATGTGTAAGAATTGAAAAAAAAATCTAAGGATTGGAGAGTTAAAAAATTGTTTGATAAAGGATATATTTATACCGTAAAGTAAGTTTTGGTCTTGGGTGTGGCACATGGTCAAAATGTCAGTTAGTTCATAGAACAAACCTTGATTCGAGGGTAGCCGTTAAAGGCTCTGTTAAACAGAACGCGTTATAACGCGCATTAAAGCGGTAAACGGCTCGTCGGCGTGGTGCTTTCACACACGTGAATAACGCCGCGTTGGAACGAATTACAAAATCACGCGACGTGAAGATAACGCTTTCTGTTTGACAGATCCTTAAGAGTTTATGTATGAACATTGATAAAACATATTGTTAGGGTATGTGTATATGCCATTTTATTCAAATTTTGGTAAATCCAATTCAATTTTATGATAATATTATGTATTTAGTTATTATTATACAGTTATTTTTATAGCTTAATCGGAAATAACAATCATTATGTAACATTGTKAGGTAATGCATATAAATAATAATAAAAATAGTACCTATATTTAGGCTAATTGCACTTTTCTAATTGGCCATTTTGGTCTAATTTTGGCTGAATAAAGTAATTGTACTTAAAACTACCACATGTAAATTTAAGTAATTCAAATTGTGTATTTCTATAGGACATTTTATCCTTTTTTATCGTGAGTTCAACGGTTACAGAGTTATAAGAAAAATAGCGGAGTGGGTAGATTTCACCCTTTTTTTGAGGGATGGAGCCGGAGGTATATGTTCAAGGGTTATTCGTCAAGAACTTTAGTATGTCTACTGGGAAGGTACACTTTTAGTGTATACCAAAGTTCAGTTGGGGGTAAATTTTTTTTGTCAATTATTTGTTCTAATTTGACTGGAATAGTACCATAGTATTGTTCTTTACTAGTACTTAGTTGTCACTACAATATTATATAGTATTATAATTATTATATTGATGGCAACACGATAAAAAATATTTATTTTTTCTTGGATGCACTGTGTACTGGGTAAAACCTAATATCGGTACCAACATAATCGAGGTCAATTAGATGACCTCGATATTTGGTGAAAATGTATTGTAATTTTTTTCATAAGTGCAGTCAGTAATCAAGATAAATAGGTTATTTGTACTGTAAGTCTGTAATCATCAAATATCATTATATCATTTATCAATCGTTAGAGAGTAAGTGGTAGAACTCTGCATTATACGTTATAGTATATTACAATATTAGTGTATTACATATTTACATAAGTGATAATAATTACAGACCTGGTGAGAGTAAAATATATTAAAATGTACCTGTTTGGAAATTATAAATTATAAATTAGTTGTCGAGTTATACTGGTTATAGTGTTGTACAGGTTATTGGTATATGGTCGAGTTAAAACCTAAGACAACATTTTCAGATTTTTTCAATGAGATATAGTACATAGATTCTTATAAAATATACATTACTATTTTTCGCAGTTACAAGCATAATTCATTTAAGTCTTGTTAGTGTATTATTAAAGTTACATTCATTTTTTAATATAGCTATAACGCAAAAATGGAAACTATACATAAATAAGTTTACATGGAATTATGGAATGAATTATATTCACTTCCTGTATATGCCAGGTTGAATATTTGATATATGATACATATAAATTTGGGTTAAGCTGTAACCTAAAATCCGGTGATTTTATTAAAGTAAGTGGATAATAGTGAGGTAATTTTATTATTTATTACATTTAAATTTTTCTGTTGATGTTAGATAATATTAAATTAAATTTTTTCATTATTCAAGATAATATAGAGAATTATTTTTATTTTTTGTTAAGTTAAAGTTTTATTGACAATTCGAATGTAATGAGATCAAATCATGGCGGAAAACACGGTGAAAGAATGGTTATCAGAATTTGCCACATTGGAAAAAGACGACTGGGCAACATTTGCTATAACAACATCGCAGAATAAGACACTTATAGAATCAATATATGCTGTACTTGATGATATTCATAAATATTCTAAGGTACCTACATTTTTTTAATGAGGAAAAATGTTAATATAATTATAACTCATTTCTTCTTATCAAGGACAATAATTTATTTAATAGGTAGTATTTTCCTGTGATAAAAATTTTAAAAAATGTAATTTGGTAGTATTATAACATCTTTAACAAGGTTTTGGTTTTAAGATTACAACCTTATATTGAAAATCTTAAATATTTATAATAGATACATACTGTTCAATTTTAACCACTTCTATGAATTAAGAATATTCTATTTTTAATTATTGATGAGTTGAATTTAGTTCAGATTTAATATTTCCTAATTTTGTTTTAAAATGCTTAATCATACCAAATTGTTAAGCTGTTATTAATATTTGAAATTATTTATTAAAAAAAAAAAATTACATTAACTACGACTTGAGAATTTATAGTTTTTAGTTATTGTAAATAATAAAATAATAGCATTTAAAATTGGTAGGTCTTTTTCTTAAAAAAAAAAATTAATAATACTATCAACTCAAATGATAAAATTGCCTTTTTATTATAACTTATAACTGGATATTAATTAAATTATTTTGAAGTTAATCAATAAATTAATAAGGAATTAAAAAAAGAATACATTTTAAAAAGAAACTTTAAAAGCTTTTTCTTATTATATTAAATTTATTGATTCATTTTATTATGTGGGTTGAACAAAAATTTCAACTATTTTGCAGTTAATTGATCGTATTTGTGGCGCACTTTTTAATTGTTATCGAACTGAAGAAACCGATTTACATTTATTTGTTCTACTATTTATACCACACTTAACATACAGTTATCTTAATTCTATTGCTCATGTTGACAAACAAGTAAGTAATATTAATACTTATATTTTATAGCTTAATATACATTTTACACCGTTATAATTCTTAAAAAGCACATATAATACATAATATTCTTTACAATTACTACAATATTTTTAAATGACTACAAAACTAAAAAAAAATAATTGTTTTACTGTGAGATTAAAGTGTTTTAAAAAAGAATAATTATAGTGGTCTTAAAATTGTTAACAGACAAGTGGTTCCATGTTTAAAATTAAGTCGTGTTTGACTGGTCTATCTAAAATACACGTATGGTAATTATTTAGCTGACTAACATTACTATAGAAAAAAATTGATTTAAGGTAAAGTAA